GAAGGGCAGAATTTTGTGGTAGTTAATAACATAGATTGTGTGGTCAGTCTGCCTGCCTTGGAAATGCAGTCCAAGGCTCTGTGACCTTCGGAAAGTCAGTTCAACTCTTGATGTTTCCGTTTCTTCATCTGAAAATTGGAATCGTAGTATTCACCTCGAGTTTGTAATGATGATTTAATTAGCAATTTTATTTTATGTTATTTTTGTGCAGCCCTTAAAACAATTCTGGCACATGATTAACATTATAAGGATTTGTTTAACAACATTTGGAAATATAACACAGATAGAGGTAGACCAAGGAAAGTTCATGGTTTAAATTTTTGAAGGCATTTCTTATGATCACTCATGATAGTGAGAGGGATGTGCGTTGTGCTTTTATTCCAATTCAGTCATCATTTAGAAGAAAGCTCTTCTTTCTGAATTACCAAAGCCTAAAGACAATTCAATCCAGATACCATTCGATTTTCTCTCAATGCTAATTGTATAGGGAAGTTTCTCCTTTTGAAGGAAATCAAGCCTCTAGTTTCCTGTGGGGAATAACATTCTGAGGGTTGCCTTAATTCTATTCCTTTCAAAAACAACTCTAGGATCAGTATACTGAGGAAGCACATACTTGGGTTGATAATGGGTCTAAGAAATGAAGGACAAAGGCACATTTAGATTCTTTCTGATTTTCATGTTTCCCCCTAATTTAAGCTCCTTCCTCTAGTCAAAAATAATCATCTGACCTGAAATGGGCTTCACCATTTTTTGGATATTGAGCAATGGTTATCCGTTAAATTGAAAACTAGAAGCTTTCAATTTAAAGTTGTGAGTTTCAAAACTCACAACTTCATAAGCTATTTGTGAGTACTCTAAAATGTATACAATCCAGAATATAGGAAGAACATGTGTCAAGATAGTAGAGAAAATTGCCACAAGACAGGCCACTCTACATAAATGATGTGCTCACCATGCGTTCTGTTTTTTGTTGTTTTACAATAAAACAAATGAGATGGGTACCACTACTATTTACTCTTTAAATTTCAGAAAGCCTAAATTTAATAGCTTATTAATGTCATGCAGCAATGACACGGCCCACACTGTGACATTTGAGCTGCAAATTTTGCCAGAGTGGGAAGTCGTCGTTTCATCCCTTCTTCTCCCGTCTCATGCTTGTGCACTGCAGGACCTCCTGGGGTCATGAGCACTCTAGGGAACGCTTTCTTGTCTTGAGACCAAGGGTACAGGTGGCTTTACACAAGTGACCAAATGAAATCAAAGCTTTCTCCTTTTTCTAGTTGCCATATTTCTATTCACTCCTTGGTACAATCGCAGAGAGACTTGTTTTGTTTAGGAGGATGTCCAGAGTTATTTTCAAAACACACATTAAGTCTCTCAAAAATAAATACTAAAAACCAAATATTTCTTTTAAGTTTTTATTTAACGAAAAAATACAGATACTTAATTTGAGGTAAGCCAGAGAAGAAATTATAATATCTTAGTCCAAAACTGGTAAGAACCAATTTACAAAGCATTCTCCAAAGTTATGTATTTTCAAACTTAAAGTCAAGCAAAAATTGACAATGAGTGTTTAAAATTAAAAAA